CCATTCAGGAATAGAGAGAGCATCCTGAAAATTGGTAGGGAGACCCACAGAAGAGACTTTAGATAGAAAGGCTTTATATGAGGTAGACAGATTAAACTAAGAGACATGATTACTAATAGGATGTTGAATACATGACTTAACTCCTTTCCTATTAGCAATGGGAACATCAAGATCTGAAAAATCAGGAATAAGAGCATTGGAATTAGAATTACCTGGACTCTCAGGAGAGAGGGTGACTTTGGACACTTAACCAGAGAAGAAGTTGACAGTGGAGGAAGGAAAGTAGTCTCTTGCATCTAGGTGACTTGCTGTTTGTTCTTGTCTTTGATATAAACTTTGCTTGCTTTCTTTTCCTTAACAACTACTGGCTCATCATCCTTTATCTATTCAACCACTGGCGGAAGTGAAACAAAAATCTCTTCACACCAAGGCTCTCCCGAAAGGGATGACTGTGATACCGGGGAGGCCAAAAAGTAAGGCTGAAACTCAAAAAAGGTGACATCCATAGAAACAAACTATTTGCGAGTGGGAGGATGATAATACTTATAGCCCTTTTTGGTGGCAGAATAATCCAGAAAAACACACTTAAGAGACCTAGAATCCAATTTACCACGAGTGGGTGAATGATTATGGACAAAGTAAACACAGCCAAAAGTCTTAGGAGAAATGGAGAACCCGGAAGGGTTAGACCCCGAACAAAACTTGAAGAGGTGTTTGTGTTTTGAAGGATCTTGGAATAGGAAGCAAATTAATCAAATAAGCGGCGGTGAAGAACGACTTCCCACCAATAGGAGCGAGGACCCGCATCTCAAGGGATAGACAATGGGCGACATCTAAGGAGATGGGCATTTTTGCGTTCTGCAACACTATTTCTGTTGAGGTGTGTTTAGTGCAACTGAAGTTTCGTGAATAATGCCATGAGTGGCGAAGTAAGATGGCAAGACTAGAGTCAATATTTCCCTCCCATTATCAAGAATGTGAATTTTGATAGACCGCCCCTAAATCTGGTACAAATCAATTTTATGGAAGTTTGAAAACAAAGAAATACCACCTATCTATTTTTCCAAATTATGACCGAAGTGGAGCCCTGGAACAATATCTAATGAAGGTAACAAATCATTTTGACCCATTAAAGACACAAAAACGGGATGGACCCCAAACATTAGAATGAATCAAAAAAAAATGGACTAAACTTCCTATTAAGAGAAGGAGCGGAAAGAAGCTCTATGTTGTTTTCCAAGTCGACAAGACTCACATTGAAAATCTCTGACACATTTATTTTCTCAAAACAGAAGGAATAAAAATGCTTAAGTAATAAAAAAAATGGATATCTTAAGCGACGGTGCTACAACCAAATGTTTCCCTTGGTGGATGGTAACTAAATAGATGAATGAGCAGCTGTCTGCTGTCTGATCCAGAATGTAGAGCTCATGTTTCTCTCTACCACTGCCAATCTCTCTTCCTCTGATAAGGCCTAAAAAAGACAATGATTGTGAAAAAAAAACTACATGCTACAATTTATGTCACGGGTAATACGACTCAAAAGATAACAGATTAACACTAAAATTGGGAACATGGAGGACAAAGGACAAATGAAGGGAAATGTGACATGAATTAAACCTTTCCGTGACACAGACCGACAATAGTAACCATCAGTAATACGCACTTTTTTCCTAACTTGAGAGGGGTTATACTCGGAAAAATAAATTAGATGGAGCTAGACATATGGTCGGAAATCACCCGAGTCAATAATCTATGGTACAGGTGTATAAGATAGCAATGCACATGGAAAGAGCCAAGTTACCTGAAGTAATAAAGGAAGAAGAGGGTGCACCTGTAGCAAAAGGAGGCTCGACGGTCTAGCAAGTGGCGAAGAGCAAACTCAAAATTCGAAGCAAGCTAACCCCAAACAATCAGCAGCATGAAGAGACAACCGGAGATGAAGATGGTGCTTAACATGTCTGAAAGATGTGTCTGAGTACCAGGACGGTCTCCTCGGCCTTTGGACTGACCAGACCGACTCCCGCGAATACCAGGACGGTTTCCTCTGCCACCAGAAGGAGTCCCATGCAACTTCCAACAAGTTTCTTGGGTGTGGTGAGGTCGACGGCAAGTAATCACAGTAAAGATTATCCTCCAGAGGAAGGACAAAAAACCACGAGACACATGGTTTTCCATATGCTCTGACGGGGGTGCCATGCATAAACCAATAGGTCCTGTTCAGCGAGTCAAATACTAGCAAGAGAAGCATTCGCAGGGAAGGTATCTCTAGTACGACTCATACCCATTTGCACCAAAAGCATGAGGCTTCCTAGAGAAAGGGAAGCCATCCATACCAAAAGTACTTTGCCCAAACCTATCATATTCCACATTTTAGGCCTTCTTACGAAGCAACTTGTAAGACCCGCTCTTGCCGCTGCCCACAAAAACTTCTGGTAATCGCCAGAATTAGTGGGGGAACAACAGGTTCTCTTGTAATCCTGAGATTGGTGATTCCAAGCCGTTTCATTTCCACCAGTGTCTAAGAAGGAATATAAATACTGGAGTATAGTCAACTCACCTCCTTGTACACGACCTTTTAAAATAGGACGGAGTTATAAACTCCGAAAAAGCATGTGTAGAAGTTCTCCTTCCGGAGTAAGTAGTAGCCACGGCCTCCCAAATATCTTATGCAGTGTCCATAGAAGATAGCCCCTTCAATCTCCGGGACCATAGAATGGACAAACCAACCCATAATGAGGGAGTTGGTGATCTCCTCATTGAATCATAACTCGGGTCTGTAGTAAGTAAGGTTGCTTAATCCTGCATCCACATTTCTCATCTTCCCCTTTGCTCTTCCAAAAAGATAGTCCAAACTCTGGCGATCAACAACTAGATAGTTCTGCCTATTGAATAGGAGGTGGTGATTTGAAAACTAGGAGTTGAGGGTATCAGTCATATTAGTAGAGATAATGAAACTCTCAACTCTAGGTGGTTTTGAGAAACATGGACACACCGGGAAAGTCTGCCATTGCCCACCAATACTAATGAACCGTTAAAAAAAAAAGCTAGTCTCAATCACAAAAACTCGTAAGATATAGTGGAAATAGGAAAAGACACAACGATTACAAAGAAAGCATAAAGAATTAAAAAACTTTTTTTTTTACTGCATTTTTATTTTTATGGTTTATTTATTGTATTTTCTTTGTTAATTTACAAAAGAGACACAGACAAAGAAATGACAGAAAACACCAACTAAATAGAGAAAACGACAGGGAAAGAACGAAGGAGAGAGCATAGCCGAAGTTAACTGGAGCAACTGGTCCTTGCCTAGAGCCTCCAGGGTTGTCGACAAGCCTAGAATGGTGGCCCAGGGCTGTCGACAAAACCTAGAGGGACAACGAGGGCTTCGATTAATTGTGGGTGGAGGAGGCCGACTGTGCCTTTTGAAGCAGAGAAGTGCTTCAGTTGCCGCTAGGTAAGGAAGGCCGACTGGCCTCTGAAGCCAGAGAAGAACTTCGGCTGCCCAGAGGAACCTTCGAGCTGGCCCTGGGTAGAAGCCGACGGGCCTTCTAATGTGCCCGGGTAGGACCGATTGCCCTGGGATACTTGGGGTGATCTTTGGTTGGTGCAAGGTTCTCCTATTGTGCTCTGATACCAATATAGACTAGAGAAGAGAAAGAATAGGTATGAGTTAGACCTCCTCCCCTTTTATATAGATAGTAACAAGTAATTACATGAGTGCCACAAGGCATAAATTATGGGCCAGCCCATTACACCAATTACAGAGAGAAAATAAATAAGAATAAAATCCACAATATTATTTCCTTATTCTAACAAAGTCTGCCTGTCCACATGCACTGAGTTACTTACAGGAGAAATTCCATGGGAATGGCCATAAAAGAGATGAATTTGGAATCCTCCAACTTGTGAGGCAGTAAGCTTATCGTGGCTGTCTGTGTATCCTTGGTTTGATATGGACATATATTATCAAAGAATACAAATGGTGTGATGGTTTAAGGAAGATATAATTCTATGCAACTTAATTTTAAATGGTGAGTAAGGATGCATTAGTAATATATCCATAAGGAAGAAACTCATATATGATATGTAGTGAGATGCTTTAAGTTTTCTCTTTTAATTGCATTAAACTATGTTTGCTTGCGTTCTGTTCTTATTGTTGTCTTTGGTCCAGTTAATCATTGGCTAGCGATCACAGTCAAAACATGTAATGATTTTGTTAACCTTTTGCAGGGGCGACTCCAGCTGTAGGTGAGGGGGGGGTTTTTTCCCCCCCCTTTCCCCCCCATCAAAAACCCCCTTGTTTTTTTCCAAAAACACCCTCTTTCAAAAAAATTATTTATATTATAATGTTATAGATTTAACCTCAATAACACTAATGGGATCACATCATATGTTTGACATCAATAATGAATAATTTCTTGATTCAATATAGAGAATGTGTTTGACATTAATTTACAATGAAAGTTTAATTTAATGCAACAATTTCTAAAAATAAAACCTCATTAAATGTAAACTGGTAAAAGTTTATATACTTTTTGTTAAGACAAATAAGCATAATAGGTTTTTGCTTTATTCTGACTTTAAATTTTTTGAGAAGTTTAAGACATCAGTTTGAGGTTTAGCTTTTTTAAATAACTTTTTTGGCTTTTTGGAATGTTTTTAAGTGAAAAAGTCGATGTATTGATAATGAACTTTTCTATTGTATGAAAAATACATACTAACTGGGTTTTTTTAATGGGGTTTTAATGACCTTTACTTTTTTAGGAGATTTTTAGCTTTTTGTTTTTGGTACTTATTATTTTTTTAAATAAACTCTTTTGGCTTTTTCTAGCCTAAAGTCAAGTTTTCAAACAAGGTCTAAATGTGTTTAGTTTAAAAAGTTCTTTATTATTATTTTTTTTTTTTTGAAAGAATTTGTGGAACTTGAGCATGCATAGTGACCCCATCTCTAAAAATTTCTGGAGTTGCGACTGACCTTTTGATTTTCTTTCTGGCAGCTAGTTTATCAGCTATTAAAACAGATGTAAACCAAGGGAAGAAGACATCAAGAGTAGTGATGCAAATGGCAGAAGAAGCCGTCCGTGCTCAAGAGAGAGATCCTTAGCACTGCATTTGCAAACCGAGTGAGAGAGCTCAATTATGGAAACTCCTATTTTTTAGGGTATGATGCCCTTTTGGTTTAAATTATCATATTTTTTTGATGGATTTGTCCTGCTTATGATTTAATGGTAATTTTTCTTTGCAGCCAATTAGAATTGGTGAACCTTAAAAAAAGTTGATCCATTTAAGGCTTGTGAATACTTCAACAATTGTTTTAAGGATCCCTCGACTTTTACAGTTGTGATTGTTGGGAATATTGAATCCTGCTATTGCATGCCCCTTAATTTTGCAGTATTTGGTAAGTCATCAAAGCTGGCTAGGCCCAAGCGTCTTCTAGTATTCATTGTTTTTTTTGTTTTGTTTTTGCTGGGCTTCTAGTATTTATTGTTAAATGGATTTGATTCATCATGATGTAGGGTGGAATTCCAAGACCTCTTGAACCCGTTTTCCATTTCAGCCGTGATGATCTCAAAGGCTTGCCTTTCACTTTTCCTTCGACCATAATTAGGTAGGTCTGCCTTTGATTTTTATTTTATTTATGTTAGTGCTAAATCAGGGGACCATTGGTTAGTTATAAAACCTGGCCTAATAACCTTGAGGTTACGGGTTCAAGTCTCGGGGCAACCACTTTGTGCACTATGCAAAGGTTAGGTGTGTACCCAATCTTTCCCCTCCCAAACACACATTAATGTGTACTAATTGAGCGTTGTTTTTTAATGCTAAATCAATGTTTCAAAATTTTCACAATTGTTGGAATGGTAGATAGCGAGTATGGGATTAATTCGTTGACCTATTGATTTGTTGTGATTTGCACTGGCTTAAACTTTAAACTTAATACAATGACTTGAGGAAACAACCATTAATATTTTTCACAGATGGAGGTTGTGAAACCATAAGTATGTACTCCACTGGCTATGCTTACTCCTGGAGGAGCTGACTTGGAAATGGTGGTCTTTCAGAATATCTGGGGCTTTGACTATGTTAAATGATGATGTTGGGTTGAAGGATGGGTCTGGGTGAAGGGGTAAGTAGATTAGGTAGGGGTCTAAACTCGTAGTGGTGAAAAGGTCAAGGTATTGGCTATTGCGATGGATATGGGAGATGGAACAGGGAGGATGAACCTGTTAGGAGAACTGGAGTTAGAAGTGAGAAAAATTAGTTGAAGCCAATATTGTAGCTGGGCTTCAGGAAGAGAAAGGCACTGGCGAGAGGAGGAGATAGAGCAGGTGATGGGGACCAAGGAAGGGAAGAATGAAGACATATGTGAGGCGCAAGAGGGTCCAAACTGAAGATTAGTTTTTTGGGCAAAATTCACTTTCATGTTTGCATAACCCCCCTGGTCATTTGGAAATAAGCACCTAACCCCTTGTGGTTTGCGGTCTAAAGTGCACCAATCAGGCCCGTTAACAGCTTAACCGAAAAGACTAAATTACCCTTGTACATAAGTAACTCATTGTCCAAACCACTACATTTTTGTCATTTTAGGGAGGCAAAATTCACTTTAACCCTGTGCTTACTCTATGTGCAGTTTATTCCTAATATTTGAAAATGAGCACATAACCCCCTTATATCCTGTCACGTGTTTTACACTTGTCATCTTGGACGGAATGCCTGATGGTGCACTTTAGTCCACAGTAGGGGGTAGGGTGAGCAGTGGATATATCGATCCGCCAAAACCGACCGAACCGAACCGTACCGAACCGATCCGTTGCATTTTGGACGGATGCGTGATGACGAGCGGACGGTTGCGGATTGATTTTCTCCAATCCGCCAATCTGGCGGACGGATGGCGGATTTGAGATTCCTTTGGCCGCAACCGAACCGTCAAACCGCGAGCACCCCTAGTAATTTATAAGACTTTGTGTTTTCAGTTTGTTTAAATATTCTGTTTGTGTTTTCAATTAAAAAAGAGTTTAAATATTCTGTTGAACAAAAATTTTCAACGTGAATACCTTTTTTGAATTGAAAAAAATAAAGTATTATTTATCTATATTTTTTGGTTTTTAAATTTATCTCTAAAAATAATAAATAGAAAATATGATATATGTTGGTTGGTTTTTGTTTTCAAAAACAGATATAGATGTAACAATACAGAGACATACATTCTCTACTACTGCTCTGCTCATAGTTTTGGTGGTTTGAATTATTTTTATAATTTAAGAATCACAGATTGTAATACTTTATGTAGAAGAGGCATGCTGTGATTGTAGTATGTGGATGAGGCATGCAGTGATTATGATATTTTAAAGTTTCAAACTTTCTTGCTTTTGATGAGGCATGCAGTGTTTTTAATATTTTTTTAAGTCATTGACTGTAATACTTTCTTCTCGAGGAAATGCACAAGTTGAATTATATTGAAAATTTATAAAATTTTAAACTGCCAAACCGATTCGCATCCATCTGTCAAACCGCCAATCAGCTCAATCCACATCCGCCGGATTGGCGGATGGATGCGGATTGATTTTCTTCAATTCGCCAATCTGGCGGACGGATGACGGATTGGAGGTTCCGTAGCCGCAACCGACCAGCGCCCACCCCTAATAGGGGGTTATGTGCGTATTTCCAAATGACGGGTAAAATGCACATTGTGTAAACCACGCGAGGGGAAAGTGAAGTTTGCCCTAGTTTTTTTTCAGGAGATTTAGTTTTTAACATTTTGTTTCCATTTTTATTTTGTTTACATACATGGTTGTATGGGCATTGTGTAAGGAAAGACTTATGTTTTTCTTGATGAATATTGATTGAGATTTTCTGAAACCCTAGTTTGCTTCTTTGTCTTCTCATGTTCTACGCCAGGAGGTGAGGTCAGAACTTAATGGAGTGCAACCTAACTGGTACGCTAGACCATTTTAAATTGGGAGAAAAGATTGACGTGTCACAGTGAGTAATGAAAATGATTAATGGTCTAAGTTTCTCAGGTTCCCAGTTGATGGATTTGAGGATCTGGCCTTCGAAGTTGTTGATGACAATGAAAGCAAAAACAAGACTAGAGAGGGATATCTTGATTGCAAAGTGGAATCGGGGTAGCAAAGCTAGATGTGGAAGGGAGTAAAAAAATTTGCTTAGCTTCATCAATTATGGTGGTAGATAAAAAGGGGTTGGAGTGGGGGGAGGTAGAGGAGGCGATCGATGTTGGGTGCCCTTGGTTTTTGATAGAATCTTGGATAGGCTAGCTGCTAGCTTTTTATTGTCTTTCCGGTCTTTTCGATGTTCTGAGCTGCTGTAGTGTGTGTGTGTATGTTTTTATTACTTGGATGGCACTTCTAATTTAAATTTTGTTTTATTAAAAAAAAAGTATATAGCACACATGAGTAGTCTTTATGTTGTAATGAGATGCCCATTTGATGCCCTACATCTGTTTGTAGAGAAGTTGTTCGCAGCCCCATGGTGGAAGCACAGTGTTCGGTCCAGCTATGCTTTCCTGTTGAACTAAAGAATGAAAACATGGTATTTGGATTTGTTTTGTTTTTTTTTTTGTTTTTTTGCTCCTCTATTGAGAACTCACAGGTCATGATGGTTCATCAGTAGTCTTTTACGACTTTCTTTTCTTTAGTGATGATTTTGTCCTTTATTTATTTATTTATTTTTGATACGTGTGATAGATGGAAGACATTCAATTTGTTGGGTTTTTGAGCAAACTCCTGGAAACAAAAATACTGCAGGTTCTCCGCTTCAAGCATGGCCAGGTGTGTATGCTTGTTTTTTGTATATTCTCTTATATTATTTGATTTGCTATTTGGTCTAATTCTTCGCTGCATATATTTCCATCCTAGATATACTCTGCTGGCGTTTCTGTATTCCTTGGTGGTAATAAGCCTTCAAGAGTTGATAATGTTCGTGGGGATATTAGTGTTAATTTCTCTTGTGATCCAGATATATCCACAACACTGGTATGTTCACTATAGTTGTGCAATTTTTTAATTTTTTTAGCAGTTGAATGGCTAATTAACTTAATTGTGCAATGTTTCTTGCAGGTTGATCTGGCTTTGGAAGAAATATTACGTCTCCAGGAGGAAGGACCTACAGATGAAGATGTTTTAACTATCCTTGAAATTGAGCAAAGGGCCCATGAAAATGGATTGCAGGTAAGTTCCACACCTTTAGTTTCTCCCTCCATCATCCAATAATTTCTTACTTCCCTTTTTTGGTTGTCCAAAATGAATGTCCACAATGAAAAAGTCAAATTAGTTATTCTTTACTTTCCTATATTACCCTTATGATAACATATATTACAACTGCCATAAAAACTATACAATAATTATTTATCAACTTTGTTCAGGGCAATTTTGGAAGAGTAATGCCAAAAAATAAAGGGACTTACATATTTTATTGCTTTCTTAAATTTAGTGTTTTTTAATCAAACACGGCACTCATTTTGGACCGAGTAGCACATTCATTTTCTATTTAATTTCCAGAATCAGATGAAGAGAAGGGGGAAGTTATATGCATCGTGTGTCAAACCTCACATATTTATATTTTTGTAATAATCCAAAATTTCACTGCATTTTCCTTATGCATCCAAACAAAGGACTAACATTTTAAATGTGGTAATAAATGAATGTTACCATATATAGTTGGCACTCTAAGAGGTCCAGATGCGCGAATTGTACCCATGCAAAACTGATAAAAATGCTAAAATTCATCATGTGCATTAAAAAAAATTAAGGTCTAAAATATAATTAAATGAAAGCTGCCCCTAACCACTTTTCATTTTCCATCAAACATTGCTTGCTGAGGTTTCTGATACCACATCATAGCTCCTGCCCCATCCTCTGTGTTTAATGACTTCTATAGAAGTAAGTAGCAGCCTCAGTTTTTATAGTAATTCGAATGGTGCTAATTGTAGTACTAGTGCTTATACATATACAGGTGGCAACCAAAAGCCTTGAACAACTGAATTTTTCCAAAAAGAAAAAAAAGGATAAGGGGAACCAACAAAAGGTGAGGGGGGAACAAGTAGAAGGAAGAGGAGAACTGAGTTGAGGGGAGAGGGGGAGTGGAGTTTTGGTGAGTGGGAATTTAGAGGGACAACTAAAGCTCATTATCGTGCTTATTTTTCTTGAGAGTGCCGAGTAGCTAATAAGCATTTTTGTTTGATTCATGTAGTGGTGCATTGTTACTTTACTCATCCCAATCTCATTCTCTACCCATTTATTCCAAATTCCAATTCATATGCTCTTTCAGGAGAACTACTACTGGCTGGATAGGATTTTACGTAGCTACCAATCAAGGATCTATTTTGGTGATGTTGGCACATCTTTTGAGGTTAGTTACTGTGGTTTTTGCATTTCTACTGCCTTACATTGCAGTCTGCTTCTTGTTAGTTACCCCTGTTAATTGAATATTCAATTTCCATGCTAACGATTCTGTTGCTGTCAAGCTCATCCATAATGTTGCCTTGCAATGTATAACACTGCCACACATATGCATGGGTATAAAAACCTGTTGAGAAATGTGCTTTTTGTACAATTAAATGTTTTTCTTGATAATATGAATATTATCAAACAAGCAGGACATAGGGGTATGATGAGTGGTTCTCTCTTAGAATAAACATCCAAGATATGTGTCTGACCCTGGCCTGGTTACAACTACAAAACTGACATGGGACACAGTTAACTTAAATTATACAAAAAAAAAAAAAAAAGATTCATGTACCCAACCCACTTGATTGGACACATGGCTTTGTCTGGTTTGGTTTGACCATGCAACATAGTCAAGCAGTTTTCTTTGTTATGTTCTGTAGGCTGCTTTTCCTATTATCAGAAATGTGAAAATAAAGCCATCTAAACTGTACCTATATTCCCATCCATTTTTATTGACTTACATAGGTTTAGAAAAGTTCAATCTTTGTGAAGCAAATTTTCCACTATTATTTGATAATCATTGCGGCGCAGGTTCAAGAAGAGGGCCGTTCCAAAGTTAGAAAGACTCTGACACCATTAACAGCACAGTTGGCATTACGAAGGATCCTGCCTTTTCCTTGCAAAAAACAGTATACTGTAGTGATTCTGATGCCTCAGAGATCTTGTTTTAAGAAGTTAAAGCTATTCATCCACTCAGCACCAAACCGTTATAGTAGAGATGCAAAGGTAAGTCCTATGCTCTTTTTTTTTTCTTTTTTTTTTCTTTTTTTTTATTGTTTTACCCTGAGTACATTGGATGGAGGGAGAGGAGAATCGATCTTGTTATCTCATTAACAAGATACACATGCTTTGGCCGCTGGGCTAACCCCCGTCATATGTGTATTCTGGCATTGTTGTGCACCTAGCACGTGTCAGCAAATCACATTTTCTGTTTGCCATGTGAAGTGAAGAAATTCTGACAGTTCTTGAGAGCCCATATTATAATGCTCTATTTTTTCTTCTTTTATTTGTCTTTTTCTATTTCTAATTTTGTTTTGTGATCCACGACCTGGTTCTTATTTGCTTACACTTTATGTAGTTCACATCGTTTATATTTTGAATGTTGTTAAATATCATTCCAGAGCTCCTCGTGATTATATTTATATCTTCACCGCACATGATTAGTTTTTTTATTCCCCCTCTTTCTTCCCTGTGAACAATTCCCAGAAAATCTGCAAATGTCTAACATCTTTGTTTCTGTGTCCATGGCAGATTTTAGCAGGCATGGCCGGCCTGACTGTTTTGGTTCTCAGTTTGTGGAGATATTCACGCAGTTCACTGAAATCTTAAGGGTGTGTTTGTTTGGCACAAGATTGTTATTTGGAAGATTGGAGATTTTCAACAAGAACAGGGATATACATTCTTTCTTCATTACCAAAATATTGGAGGTACATATCATTTCGATGAGTTAAATCCCCAAGTAATGACATCCCCGTTCTCATATGTGGACAGAGCGCGAAGACTTGAAATTTGAGTGGCCAACCAATTTGGGTGAGGCTAAATCATGTATGATGAGGCTTTTTAATTCATTGATAACACGAACAATGTCCATGGATTGTCTTATCTTTCACGAGATTTAGAGAGTGAGGTTCCCATAGTAGTCAAATACTACGGATATAGAACATTTAGTAGTATGGCATGACTGACCTAGATTTTGATGTTGAACTCTCGTCAGATGTAATATTTCATCTTGTTATAATGAAATTTATTGCGTTTTAAGCGTAAAACGAGTGTGTTTACTCTTCGTGCTGTTAAGGTTTGTTTGTAAATCGCTTTTCGTGCTCTTGAGATGACCTTTGTTTTTTTCTTCTTCCTTTTGATCCCTTCTTGTTTTGTGGTGTAATGGCACACCCTTTTTGATTGCGTTTGGATTTTGAATTGTTTGGACGCTATTGGTGTGAATCTTCTTCTTTTTCTGTTGTTGTTAATTGATCAATGTCGCTTGATTGGCATCTTCTCATCACCTAGAGACTTGGGCTACATCATGGACTTCTAAATGTCGTGTATAGGGAGACCTTAAAGATTACAAATCTGCAAAAAAAAGAAAAAAAAAAAGAGAAGTAAATTACACTGACATTTCAAGAGAAATTTTAGTGCATCCAATATTGTCAATTTTTTCACAATCTCGCATCGCTTAAAAAATAGAGAGCATAAATAAATTATCCAGTTCGGCAAGAGGCTTAACAAAATAGAATGACCCAACTCAAAATGTTCAAATAGAGACAAACAAATACTAGAAGAACTAAACTAGTAATAAGGTTGGGTACCGAGGGAGACCAAAGGGACTAGCTAGTTTATAAGTCATTTGGATTTATGATTTTGTATTGAATCATGAGGAACAGTAAAAGGATATTACATTTGATGATTGGTGGGGGCATTGTCAGATGATTTCTTGAAAGTGTTGTAATTAGTGAAGGAGATGACACTTAGGATTTTGTATTGAGTCATGAGAAATAACAAAAGAGCATGACATTTGATGATTGGTAAGGCATTGCCAAGTAATACCTTGAACTACTTAATAATTTTTCAGTTGATAGTGTTTCATTCTCTGGAATCCTTTCTCTCTATTCCTAGACTAAATAGTTTCTATATGCCTTGCTTGGATTTAGAATTCTAGGAAAAATTGATAAAATCAACCCAACTGCTTAAAATGATTTAAAAATAATTTACACTGACACCGACCAAAATATAACAGTTAAATCCTTCTTATATTAGTAATATTTTGGGTATATTAGAAAACAAATGACTAATACTATACATTTTGTAATAAAAATTAAGAGAATAGACATGTATAGAGTATCTTTCATTACATCTCTTCGTTTATTTCCGATATGAGATTCTATAAATTTTTACCAAACCCTTAATACCTTCTAGGTATCCTTTATGTACAATAAATCAAAAAATAAACAAAACCAAATACTAAGAGTATCACCATCAAACTAGTTATTTTCATATTTTTACTAAAATAGTGAGTAAATCACTAAATTTCACCTCCATTAAACTAACTATCAAGTTAGTCATTTTAATTTTGATGATTTTGGCTCAACAAATGTAACTAGTGTTTTCACCTAGTCAAATATTAAAAAAAATACTCCCTCCGTCCCAAAATAATGGTCCCTTTTGGGGAATCCAACTTTTTTTGGTAGTACAATTATTGTACTTTTAAAAAGTTGGTTTTCCAAAATTACCCTTTGATAGTACACTTTTTTGAGAATATCAATGTCATAATTGTATTTTTTATATTATTTATGAATTTAAAAGAAGGGCAAAATGGGAAATTTATATTATTTTTGTACTTGATTTTTGAAGAGGGACTAATATTTTGGGACAATGAAAAATGGAATAAGGGACTAATATTATGGGACGGAGGGAGTATTACTTTTCATATTTTAAAATGAATTATGTTCAGTTTATAGAAAATAATTCTAAATTAAAATGAATAAAAATAATATTTAAATAATAGAAAAAAAGAATAGAGAGCTTATTGGATAATGTATTTAAGTTGTATAGTCAAAATAGAAAAAGCGACTTTCAAATCAAAATATAGCAAAATTTTAACTAGGTTGATGGAGATGCTCTAATATATGATCATTTTTGATTCCTTAACGTTGTATATGGTTGGCAAATTTGGGAAAAGATTTGAAAATAAAAATGAAAAAGATAGATAAAATGTGAATAAAATAGGAAAAATTAGTCTAGGGTCCCTCTCACACTTTTCGTAATGGAAGAGATCCACAAAATTATTTTTTGATGTCTAAGGTCCCTAAACATATCACAGAGAAATTTGACCTTACCAAATCAAAACTCATCTCTCTCTCTCTCTCTCTCTCTCTCTCTCTCTCTAAACTTCTCCATTCTCAGACCTGTCCAGATCAACTCTTGTTCCTCACCCCTGACTTCATTCTCCAGCCGATTGAGCTCCACCTTCACCGGATCCGACCCATGCAGCAAATTCAAGAACTCATCCGCGTCCAAACTCGAGGATCTCAAATAGCCTGGTGGCTGCCCATGCTATTCTACGGGATGAAGCAATCACTCTTGGAACTGGATGCCTCACTTCTCTGTGCCTTTCACAAATCTGCTTTAGTCTTGGCTTCACATGCTTCCGTCTGTGCTTGGAGGGACCTAATGGGAACATTATTCAATAGAGAAACACTTTCATTCAGGAAACAAAATGAATCACAATGATTTGGGTAAGTTGCAGAAATTTTTGTTAATTGTGCTTAGTTACTTACATGTATCCCTATGATCAGTTTATTTCAACAAATGTATAACTGGAAGTATAAATGAAAGTGTAAATGAAATCATGGCAAAATGTAAGAATGGAATTTTATTCAAGAAACGAAGAACAGATGCATAAAAACATTCACAACTTTCAATAAAAAATATAAAACATTGTCTCAATCACTAGCCTTGTGCATCTGTAGTTCTCAATAAATTTGTTAGTCATGAGAGGAAGAAGGGTGCTTGAGATCAATCCTCAACACCCAATCATTAACACCTTGAATGTATGACGATTTGGTCAATAATTAGAAAATTCTCATTTTCATTATTCGTTGTACCAATATAACCCCAGCTAATTGCAAGCTCTTTTTTTTTTTTTTGACTTTCTATTTGTGAATGATGCAGGCTGCATTCAAGAGTGACCCAAATGATGAAGAAGCTTTAAGAGCTATTGATCTTTTGTATGACACAGCTTTAATTTCTAGTGGTTCCACTATAAGTGACTTGTTCTGTATCTTTTATATTATATGTCTACATCAGATTTGCATTCAGTAGTTATGAATTTAGTGGGAACAGCCCTTTCGGGAATTTCTTTGGAAAAGGCTAGAGAAATTGGAGAATTTCTCTGGAGAGAATTTCTTTGGAAAAGGCCAGAGAAATTTTCATAATTTGCTTAACACCAAGAATGAAGGCAAGCAAAGCATGCTACTCAGGTGTCTGACCATTCTTGGAATTTCTCTGGCTGTATGAAATTTCTCTGGTTGTATGAATTTTCTCTAGCTGTATGAAATTTCTCTGGTTGTATGAAATTTCTTTGGTTGTGATCACTGTGTGAATTTTCTCTATGCTCTCTCTCAAATTCTCTTCTTTTTTTGGAACTACAACCATCTCTCAGCAGGTTTGGCCCTTTAATTAATTATTTATTTATTTAATATATCATCTTTTATATCACTTTTTTGGTAGCAAATGGATTCTGAAAATAGTGTAAATATGCAATTTTCAAGTGGTGGAGATGAAGAGTATGATTCACGGACCGAGTCAATCTTTTCTTTCTTGAACCACAGTTTTGGCTCCATCTCCAACCATCCACAACCGCCTCCTCCACAACCACCACCACCTCTCTTCCACCACCAACAACCCACTTTGTTTGACTCTCAAGCACACAATCTCAGGCTTTTTTTCTTTTTTAAATCCAGAGAAATTCTCTGAAAATCTAGAGAAAATCTCGACTGGAATCCAGAGAATTTCTCTGGATCAAATTTTCTCTAGAGAGAAATTCTCTGGATCGAATTTTCCCTGGGCTAAAATTTCTCTGGACCGAAATTTCTCTGGGCTGAAATTTCTCTGGACCAGAATTTCTCTGGATCAAATTGAGCGACCTTAGACATTATAAAAATATTAAATGTCCTTTATACTATAAAGTCTTAATACCAGAGACCCTACAAAAAAAACCCCAATAAAATATACCTATATTTTACCTAGTTATATTTCTTTTTCATTTTTCTTTTCAAATTTCTCAACCAAACATAGCATAAACGGAACAGATTGGGTCCAAAACCAAACCCAAAACCCATTGATGGGTCCATGGGCTAGGGAAAGGGCTGATCCATTTACCCGGGTCCAAAATAAAACCCATAAAGCAGCTTATAGAGCATAACTAGGGTACACAATTAGGGTTTTATTATTACCTCAACCCCTCCTTCGTTTTCACTTTCGTCTCCATCTTCCAAATCCAAACCCAGAGGTCTCTCTCTCTCTCTCTCTCTCTCTCTCTCTCTCTCTCTCTCTGAATCAAAGCTTTGTATGTGCTTGTGTATGAGTTTAAGATTTTCTCTGTTGTTAATTGTTTCACGATCTCTGTTAACTATGTCGATTACATTGTGCAGATCTGTGTTTTTTTTTGTAAATACCAATGGAAGTTCCAATTTCTGTGAATTGAGATCGATTTGTGGTATAACAAATGAGCTGAAGAGTGTGTTTGTTTGCTTGTATGGTTGAGTAGTGCAGGCATTGCTGAGTAGTGGTGCTCGAAGAGAGAGAGAGAGAGAGAGAGAGAGCGAAAATGGTGGAGAAAACGAAAGGAAGAAAGGAAGAGGTGGTGACTAGGGAGTACACCATCAACCTCCACAAGCGCTTGCACAGCTGGTACTAATTTATCTATCTATATATGCATTATAGCTTGTTGATTCTATCTGTTACTATATAAAGTTTGATTCTTGGTAGTGTTGAATCAATTGGTTATGTAGTTGTGAAGGGTTATCTTAATTTTTGGTTAATTCTATTATTGATGTTGCTTTTTTAAATGTTTGAATAATCAGAATCATGTATATGTTCTAGTTCTTAGATTTAACATAAAATGTGAATCTATTGTGGCTCCTTATGTTTCTGAATCTATTTAGCCATGCCTTTGAGACCATAATTCGAAATTTACGGTCAAATAATTAATCCTGGGAAATTTCAACCTTAGTTGCGTAGTTTACATTAGAGTGGATTCAAGGTGAGCAAGAGATTCATTGCCTGCTTATTGAATATGTCAGTTTTCTTATGATCGTGATTTGATCGGTTTGGTTGAACAATTTATGTCCAGAGTTGGTTTCTTTTACAGTATTCTGCCTTTTTTCCATGCAATATTGTACAGAGTTGTGTTGAAATCTGTGTTCTTTTCATGCAATCGGTATTAGGGTTTTCAAAGTGGTTATTTGATGTAACTAGCTTGTCTACGTGATGTAACTGAGTAATTTCTGAATCGTTAGCTCTGCATGACTTCAGTAAATAAATATAAAGTAATTGGTGAGAGTTTAGTTTTGGTGGAATGGAGATGTCACCTCTGTTGATGCTGTAACCATCTCCAAATTCTTTTTAGCTGGCATCTTTGACAACCTTGTACAATTGGCTGGATGATGCTATTTGTTCCCCAACCAGTTTCTGCTCTCAGGATGTACCATGGACAGTTGGTGTATTTCCTAGTTTTCTATAGCAATCTTAGTTCAGATTGGGAACATGTGTAGGTTGTGAGAATGTTCAACCTTCACGTGGTTGGTTTAGGTGGGGACTCGTTTTTTTATATGGAGACAGTGTTTACATCACCCATGTAGAGTGCCATTATGATAAACACCTTCGTTCCCTCTGATTGCTGAAATTATAGCATTCCCTCCCTCACACTGTTTCTCTGCTTTTGTTCTTACCTGACTTCATAAAGCCATGCTCGGCAATGGTGCATATAACTGTGAATTGCGTGATGGGTCTTGTATTTAAAAGAATTTTTTTATCATCTTTACTGCCTTCGCTTCTTTTGCTTATGCTACTGTGTACATTTCTATCACATTTTTTTCATTTTGTTTGAATAACTATAGAATGACTGAGATAGCCTTGTACAACCACACACGTATTTAGGCCCCGTTTGGGGACTTATTTTTTTAGCCAAAAAGCCAACAACTCATACAAAAAAGTGACAGATTCTCTTTTCTCTCTACTTTCTGCACATCTTTTCGTAATTAGTCAAAAAGTCATCCCAAACATATAAGTTTTTTTTACCTACTTTTTTAGCCAAATAGCTAAAAAGTTACTAAATTAGCCTATTCCCAAACGAGGCCTTATTGTCTTTAAATGGTTGACCTATATTTTTTATTTTTGGCTTGAACTGTAACTTATTCTGTGATATGTCATGAGATAGGATGTGATTGTGTGTTTTGTTGTACTGTCATTGTAAATAACAGCACATTCAAGAAGAAGGCGCCTAACGCCATAAAAGAGATCAGGAAATTTGCCCAGAAAGCCATGGGGACAAAGGATGTGAGAGTGGATGTGAAGCTAAACAAGCACATCTGGAGCAGGGGCATCCGAAGTGTCCCAAGGCGGATTAGAGTTCGCATTGCTCGCAAGAGAAATGACGATGAAGATGCAAAAGAAGAGCTCTACTCTCTTGTTACTGTCGCTGAAATCCCAGTAGAAGGGCTGAAGGGCCTTGGTACCAAGGTCATTGATGAAGAGGATTGATTTGTCAATACCTTCCTGAGAGTTTTGCGTAGTGTTGATTGTTTTGAGACTCGTTGAGTTTTCCTGATATTTGGTTTGTTTTATTGCTTAGAGCATAGACCTCAGTGTCTTTGTTTTGGTTGACATAATACAATTTTAGTGTTTCTACTTTGTTATGGCTTCATTTCTTCTGCCCTTCAAAAGGGTTGAGTACTATTCTCAATTCGTCTTCTCCTGTTTATAGTCTGATTTTTGTTTATTAACGCAAACAAGACATGGATCTTAATTTTAAAAAGAAAACACATGCTTTGATACGAGTGAAGACTGGTTTCAATACCAGAAGCCTGTAGTTTAGGTTCAACAGATGTACCTAAGCAGAGGTCCATGTATAGTATAGAATAAACGAAACATGGGAATCTTTCTTTTGGGTAATTCCTTGATTTGAATAAAATATAGTAAGTCATACAAGTTTTGCCATTTTATTATTTCTCTCTACTCCTTTCCAGCCAACCATTATATTAGCACCTCTTCATTCTCGTCTTTTTCTTCTTATCCTTTACTATTTTTCTTTTCTTTTTCTTTTTCTGTGTCACCCATCAACCTAGCTTTTCCCATGACTGACAGTGTGCCACCTCCAACCAGCCCTACCCATCTCTGTCTCTCTCTCTCTCTCTCTCGCTCTCCTCAAACAGCCACCCACTGCACAATCACTTAAATATTCACATCTACCGCACCTCCACCATCACAGAACCCCCTTCCGCCTCCCTACCTCCCATGTCAAGCTTCATGAACTTTTAATGTGCAACCAACACAGATTGATTGCCCACATTGTTACAATATATTTGTTTTGCTTTGTTATTGGTTGTCTTAATCTAATACTTATCTGATATCAGACTATATATGTGTATTTAATAGATAGAGAAACAATTCTTTTACTAGTTGCTCGCAAAATTTCCGCAGCATATAGGTGGTGGACGTACGGTGTTTGGGTTGGTGAAGGTAGCGTGTTACTAACATCGTTAGTTAGTGCTGAAGCAATAAATGAAAATTGGTAAAGAAAAAATGAATTCCATATTGTCCAAAAAAGTGTAGAACTGAGTGTGTTCCATTGGCCATTTGTATGAGTATTTTTATTGTTATGAATTGTAAGAGTACTGGGTGAGTGATTTCCTAGTGTGCAGGTGTGTGCGCCTCTTAGGTGCGCGTCGCTTGCCGAAGTAGAGATGAAATTTCTTATAGTTTGGCAGCAATTGAAGGAGAAGAAAGAATATATATATATATATATAGAGGTTTTTATTAAAAGAAAGAACGAAGTCAAGGTTATAAAGGTCAATTTAAATGTTTTATGTTTTAGTTTATAAATTATATGGGGGTTATGTAGTTATTTTCAAAAAATAAGAAAGTAATTTGCAGACGGACTAAATCATAAGGGGGTAAAGTGAAATTTGCCCAAATTTAAATTCATATAACATTTTATCCCGTTTTGATTAGAAATTTGTTAGTTGTATGAATAAAAAAAAATGATATTGTCATCTTTATTACATTGAAATGTATATTTTACCTTATATATTTTTGTATTTTTATACCATCTGCATTAGTTATAGTCTCTTTAACCTTCCTAAAAAATAAGTCAATGTAATTAGATCAAAATTATGAATTCATTGTATTTTCTTCAAATATCAAGGAAGGTCTGTGTAATTTACCTTTTTCTTTTTAATGGGTATTTGGCGAGAGGAAAGTTCTTTAATACTTTTGGGAGACCATGTGCACGTGGTATAGGTCATACAAAAGAAGATGAATGTGATCAATTTTGTCTTTCACTCAACTAACTAATGTGGATTATATCGATTCTACTTTCCCTTAGTATTCCATTATTGGCACTCCAGGTTATAAATGAGTCAGGTAGTAAATTAATCGAATTTAACTTGAAAATTTTAATGAATTTTAAAATATTTTTTAATTTAGTTTGTTTACATAACAATTCAATTTCAAATGAGTTTGTAACAAGCCGAATATAGTCAAGCCTTAGTAACTTGATTTTTTATAATGTATACATGTTTACCAAATCAAGTAGTAAGTGTTCAAGCATGGTTTTGCTTCCACAACGAACCGATTTCAATCCATCAAAGTGATATCATATGAAGGAAGTGGCAAATTTTTCATCAAATCAAGAGAGCGTTTAACCTTTCATCAAATTTTGAAATTGACTGTTGGTGGACGGCCTAGTGGATACCACATTTTGATCAAAATTTACTCTACGCTGGACAATTGATAGAATTGATGAAAGCGATTGGAATGTATCATATGAGATCAACCATTTCTTCAAATTTTTATTCAAATTTGATGAATAGTTGGAGATTCTCTCAGTGCTTTTATTTGTTTGAAAGCATCACATTAGCATGCTGAGTGGACACTTCGAGAGTATTGAATAATTACTTTATACATAATGATACTTTGCAAAACCATTCTTCATCTCTTTCGGCTCATTCTCGAATGGAATAGTTTTTCCACATGCAACTAACATTCAATACGTTCTTGTAGGGTGGGCATGGTTCGGATTTGGATAAAACTAAAATCAATCCGTTATTTACGATTCTTGAAAAATTGAAACCAATTCAATCCGTTTAAATCGTGGAATCACCGAACCAATCTATTTAAATACAGATTAGATCGGTTTAAGACCACAGATTCACATAATTAAATTAAAAATATATATATATATATATAACATTTTAATTTCATAAAAATATAAACATAGTATCATATTAGTTCCACAATAGCAACATGTCTTTCCACAATAGCGACATATTATTCTAAAATTTAAACAACTATAAGAAAATTGGTTCCACTATAAATATTTAGATCATTACAAATTAAAACTAAAAACCAGCAAACAAAAACAATAAAAGAAGATATTATGCGAGTTTAGATTTGAGTTTTGATTTTATATGGAAGAAAAGAAGATACTATTGTATAATATAAATATAGACTATTTGTATACGGTTCCCAATCCGAAACTATGGAGTTCAATCTAGAACCAATCCATGAATTACGAATTTTTAATTTTTCAATCTAGAACCAAATCACAGAATCAAAAAATCAATCCAAACCTACTAAATTGAACTAGACCGGATTGAATTACGAATTTTACAATTTCCTTACTTAGCCCTACGTTCTTGAACAAACACATCTTTGTGTCATTATTTCTACTTGTCCATTGCATAGTTGGGGAAGTTGTTCGCTTCTATAGAAAAAATGATTTATTCCTTTGATTTTGTCTCCTCAATGACGTTCAATTAGGGAAGTTAAAAGAGAAAAGTGTGAAATCGTTTCACATAGCGGTAAGCCACATCATTGGAAGTAAAATTGAGAAAAAATTAAGAGATATAACAAGTCTGTTTCTATAGCGTAACTCGTCTCAATGTCTAAAGTACTACAGAATTTCCTTTCTGAAACATTATTTTCAACATCATTTTGAAAAATCTATTGTGATTGGTCCAAAATTTTGGACTTTATATTCAAAAGAATATATTGACCCGACTTAAACTTTTGAGCTGCCGCAATTTTGAAAGGTGTAAACAAAATCAGACTCCTAGTTGTAAGACAAACCAAGCGACTTGAAAGGCTCATAGAAAGGTTGACTTAGAGCCTGCTGGTGAGCTAAAAGATCCCAAAGCTCAAATATTTTTGAGGTCCATTAACTTGTTGAAATATTCCGAAATTCCACTCATAGAAAAACAACCTAATTAAGGCATCGGCTAATGAAATGAACTACCAAAAGTGCAGTCTCATTCTAATTCCCACTTAACTTCGAAATTAGCTTGAGCAAACCCCACTTGTCAGCCAACTCATCTCTCATTCATCGTCACTCTAAATTTTTCTAACAGAATTAGGCATGAGGTCATGTTTTTCAATTAAACAAGAAAAATCGCCAAAATTATAACAACCAAAACAGATTCAAGCAATCATGACCTAAACGAAAAGGTGAGGAAAAATAAAACAAACAAACAAAAAACAAAGGCAACAGAAGGTTATCAGTGCAACAACCAAGCAAAAACAACTCGAAAACAAGAGTACATCACTAGCCTATCTCCAACAGCAGAAAATTCATGAGAACGCTTATTCCTTCATGTGTACAAAATGTGTATCCAGATAAGTATTGCAAGCACCCCCGTTGGGGAACCATCGGATTAGAAGCCCTTTCCCAAACCTTCTATGCCTTTCAAGAATAGACACCGATTACCAGTCTGCATCCATATTGAGATCCATGGAATGTGTTTTCCTAACTTGTTTTTGTTTTTACGTCGATTAGTAGAAACTTTTTAGCTGGCCTTGTAAGCATACATGTACCCTTGAAGTTTTCTTACTTCTTCAGACGACTCATTGAGTAGATGGTCCACGTAAAGGCAAATTCCAGCTCCGCTGCAATTTCAAACCATGAATATTGAAATATAATTTACTTAACGAGTTGACTGTCTTAGATGTCAAAACAGAAGTGCGAGCAAAAGGGACATACCTTAGAGGCCCGAAGGGAAGCCAGACAATATCCCACCTGAACCTTGGCAATCTACATGTCAAGATCAGATAAGTGGCAGGTGAGTGCCACAGTTGTCAAGATATCTTTAAGAATATAATTCAAAATTATCATAGTTACATTGGTTTAAAGTAATCATGATCACATTATCAGCATCATTTAAAGAAATGGAAATGCATCACGAAAAGATACATCGCAATAATTGCTTTACCTCAGCATTAGATACAACCAGAACACTGCCACTAAAATTCCCGAAAGGAAGGAATACCAAAGCCATCGTCTGTGATATCTTGAATCATGAAGTAGCCCAACAATAGCTACTGAACACACCAAAACAGCTGCCCAATCTGTCAAATGACTCTTTTTAGTGATGCAACAATCTCACAATAGTAATAACAGAAACCAAAAAAAAAAGAGTAAAATTTTAATGTTGTGTACAGTAGCGGACACAGGAATTGCAAAGTAGGAGGGGCCAACCTTTATAATTTCAATATGTGATAACAAAATTCTAATTATTTTCCTTAATGAAACTTGTGATCAAATTCTAAGCTAAATCTTCATCATTATGTTGAAATAATTGCTTCTATAAAAAAAAATGATAAATGGCAGAGATATTTATTGTTAAATTAGGGATATTCAGAAAAAACACTAAAGTAGTGTTCAATTCACCGGAATGAAGGTGGAATGAAATGATCATTTCATTACAATAAGGTACTGACTACACTATCAATTCAAATACCACTTGACAAAAATCTATTACCAACCAAAAACTTCACCATTTGAAGACACTTGTCTCATTGGCAGCATTTGGATATGCAGAGCAAAATGTCAAGTATTTTGTAGCACTTTTGGAACCTTTGTCTAGGAGGGGCATTTCTTTTGATTATGAAGGCAAATAGACATAAGTCTAAGAATAATGCATTTAAAATACATCCAAATTATCAGATGTTCAGAAGTTTATTACCTAATTAATCAAACTATTATTAGATGACTCGGCATTTTTTGGCATCCATCATTATCCATTAATTAATCAATAAACCACACCAACTATGGGGATTATATCACCCATAGTTCAGCATGTCATTGGCCATATTTTCATATAAAGCAGGATGTACTCTTATTGAAGTTCAAGATAGTGATATCTCATTTTAACTCATACAGGTATAATTAGCTTTCATTTGGGAATTGGCTATATTATTGGCTTTTTATAAAAAGACGTGCAAAATATTTGAGAGTGATGTGACAACTTGTAGTGACTTTTTAGCTAAAATAGCCTATTGACCAACGAGGCTATCACACCCATTCCTTCTAATCATACAATTAAGAAGATGACCTTGCCATGATCATTTTGATGTATTACTATCTATTAATACCTAGGATAACGCATTTTGCTAAGTAGGTGCAAGAAATTCGAAAAACTTGAACTTTCAAGTTAATTGACACAAAATTGCTAAGAACAAGAAATACTATTATTTACATAAATTTGTTTGACAGATGTTACACACGTAACCAGGTGACAGATGATAAAAACAACGGATAAAGAACCAATAAAGATTTTTTGTTTGATAAATAGAGAATTTAATTTTACAAGGATTAATAAGTATGGGCTGAAGGGATGAAGAACCTCACATCTATAAAGCATGGACACGGACACGGATACGGACATGGACACGGGTACGGACACGGAACACGGTAATTTCAAAAAAATGGGGACATGGACACGGCAGGGGGCATGGCAATTTTTTTATTTTTGTTTCATATATATATTTGCTATGTATATTAATATTTTATTAGCAAACAATTAAAATTAATAAAAACAAACATTGATTCAGGTTTCGTTTGGGAACAGACTAATTTAGTAACTTTTTGACTATTTAGCTAAAATATGAGCTAAAAAAAGCTAGTATGTTTGGGATGACTTTTTGGCTTTTTACGAAAAGATGTGCAAAAAGTAAAGAGAAAAGAGAATCTTTGACTTTTTGGTATGAGTTGTTGGCTTTTTGATTTTTTTAGTGACTTTTTGGCTTTTTGGCTAAAAAGGCCACTTGCCAAACGAGGCCTCAATATATATATAAACTACTACATTTAAACAAATTAATATATCATCCATCCACAAAAAGGCATAATAAACGATAAGACCTAAGATGACGAGGAAAAAACATTTAACATCCAACAATATTCTTTTTTTACTTTTTTAATTTTACACTTTGACCCCAAAAGGCATCTACAAAAATTTAAAAAAAAAACCCTACCGTGCCCCCTGATATGTCCAGATTTGGACACGCGTGTCCCTGAGTCCAACACCGCTATGGCGCCCATTTTGAAGTGTCCGTGCTTCATAGCCTCACATCATACTTGTTCCACCTAGAGGACATCATACTACAATTGAATTGTATCTCAAGGAACAGGCCAATCAATTAAGTACTAACATAAAAAAAAAGGTCCACATTGGAGGCGCCTACGGAAACAAAACGCAGCAAAATAATACAAATGCCTTTTAACATAGTGAGGGAACTAAAATTTTTAAACAATTTGATTTGTTTCAAGGTAATTGTAGAACTCTAACATCATAATATCTCAGTTAAGAATCAGGTGGCAAAGAATATTAGCAAGTACACAAGTGAAGAAATGAACCTGCAGATATAATGATCCAGGAGTCAACCTCTTCCATGAAGTAAGCATGATAACGCTGCTCACCAAAGGGCAACAAACATATTTCAGTCAAATTAGCACTCATATAGAGGAAACTATCCATCGCAAATTACACAAATCAAGCTATTCATGCTGTCTACTATGATCATCTCGCCTAGGTAACCCTCTAAAGTAGCATCCAAAAAACACCCTAAGGGGTTGGCCTGTTGGCCTGTGGCAAGGCCTTAGGTCTTGGGGGTGTACTCCCTCTAAAGGTTTAGGGATTGAAACCTCTTAGGAGCTAACAATTCTTAGGGGCCATCGGACTAGGAAAAAATCATTGAATTAACTGTGGTGCACTTGCAAGAAACTCCTTACCGAGGGCCTGTGCACCCCTAGGGATTAGTCGGACTTTGATCCAAACACTTCAGTGCTAATCCCAAAAAAAAAAAGCAAAAAAAAAAAAAAAAAGGCATATGGCCACTAAATAGTTAATTCTGGTTTTCCCAAGCCTGTGATTTGCTTAAACCTTTCTCATTAATTGGAAGGGGGTAACAAACAGTTCACAGAGACAATATGGAAACTAAAAAGACAACAGTCAGTAGATCTAATACATTTTTGGTAACCATTATGCTGTATTTGGTTCAGGGATTTTGGTAGGGATTGGAAATGGAAAGGGAAAATGTGTGTGAAATGTAATTATATTTCACCCATCTTTTCCCTTTCTATTTCCAAATCCCTACCCAAATCCATGAACCAAACACAGCCTTAATCTAACTTTCAATATTATAAATTCAATCAACCTTGAATGGCCGAGTAACCCTAGATTTTTCCAAATTGATGTGATCAGATCCTCCAACTGCTTTGTATGACCAAGTGACAAATTTTAAAATTATTATGCATAAGGTAGTCATTGACGATTGTAAGATAGATCCTCACTCACTACTATATACCTGTCACTGTAATGGCTTTTCAAACAATTTCACAAAATACATTCAGATGCAGGGGTGGAGGTAGCTCCCCCACTCAACTTTGTAAATTTACTATTTAGCTTATGTTTACAAAATAGTTTTTCAAATTGCCCTTCTAAAATGTAATATATGCTGCTATTTTTTTTTATTAAAAAAAAATCCGTACACTTTGCTCCCTTTAAATGTATATTTTGCAGTATTCTCCTTTATTTTGCTGCGAACATTACCTTTAAATGTTTGTTTTCTATTTTTTTGGTAATGCTTGCAAGCTTATTCTTGTTAGTAAATTTTTTTTTCTTGCGTGATAAATATGTGTAAGAGTACGTAATATTTTCTACTTATTTGAGGAAATGTCTCAATGAAATATTTGTCTTCTCTGTGTCTCCTCTCTCAAGTTATATAAGGTGGGACAAGGAGCTGGTGGGAACGACCATCACAGTCTAAGTCGGTGTTGTTGTTAGGGTTGGGGGACATCATGGTAGACATAACCTTTGACCTTAAAACTTGATGATACCATGTTATCGCTAACACATCATGGTGTTATCATCCAATAATATATACAACTGTCAACCATGAACCCCACTATCTAAATGTAGCTGCCTTATTCAAACTGAATCTACAAACACATGGCATTAGGTTATATATCTACATGGTAGTTTGTGATTGGATAACATGTATCACCGTCATAATCAATTTTCTGCAGAGTTGTAGAATCGAAACATATATCTATGCAACTGTTCGGATGTGTATATATATATATATAATATGTATATAAATAACGTTATATAGAGTTGAAGAGAAAGTATACCAGTTCCCATGGAGAAGAAACCTGCTGATAGATTGAGTAGATGAGAAACGCGGCATAACAAAAGGCAATGGCTGAAAACACTCTCTACATGAATCCATTCAGAAAGAAATTGATAAATAAAATAGAAACAAAAACAAATTATGGAAAATTAGAAAAATCAGAGCAAGAATTGATAGAAAGAATTGAATAATAATAGTATTACCCTCCATAAAAGAGACTGTTGAACTTGAATTTGTTGAAGTGATCGAACCAATTCCTCCTGTTCTGTAGAATCGAAAAAACAACTAAATTCTTCAAAATAAAGCAGCAAATAAAACCCTAATTCAATCTGAGCTGATAGACACAATACAGTAGAGAGAGAGAGAGAGAGAGAGAGAGAGAGAGAGTACCTTGGGTGTCCAAGGGACGGACATCGTCAGAAGTGGGGAGAGAGAAATTGTCGTCCTCTCCATCTTTATCTCCTCTTCCATATTTCTTCCATTTTCTACTCAGCTTCATCTCTCTCTCTCTCTCTTCCCTCCTGAAATGTAAATACCTTGATTTCAATACTGTTTTACCAAAGCAACTCTGTATCATGTTATTTTTATATTTTTGAGTAAATTACAAAGAATGCTGTCTTTTAAATTTTTTAATTTAATAATAAATTATTTTTTTATTTATAAATTATTAAATTAATTAATAATTTTTAATAAGATACTCGGTTTATAAATCTAATTTTGAATTATTGTTGTCTAAAAATTCAGGTTCTAAAATACTTTGTCTATAAGGATAAGTTACATCAAAATAATCAAATTACCCATATATATATATATATATATGAGCTTAGATCCTCTGTTGTGTTAAGCTGCGGTGATTCTTGTGGTACTTTCAAAATAACGTTGTTTTGAATTATTATATTTTTTTATCCTTTCCAATCTTCTCTTTTCTCTCTCATCTTTCAAATGTTAGAGAGACGACAACCCTCACAAATAGAGAGACGAAGAGCAGCGGCGATGCGATGGGGGCGAGATTGAGTTGGATAAGATGTTAAATATACCTCTTCAATGAGCAAACCAACCCCCAAAACCAATCAATAGTAAAAAACTTTCAGAAATTTCCCAAGTCCATTTTCTTGGATATGTAACTTGTAAGACACCAAGATGATGTCCTCTTCTGGAGTCTATGACCTTATATCATAGCAAGGTGGTGTACCCATCTATTTTACTCTCTCTCTCTCTCTCTCTCTTCAACTATTTCACACTCAAATCATTTGATTTATCAACAAAGATCCTTTCTTTTTCTCTTTCCAAGATTTTCTTATTTTCTTGTCAACTTTCATTTAATTCAAAAACAAAAACAGTAAAGTACTTAATAATAAGTAATCTTTGTTCTTGAGTTTCATGGCAACCAAATAGGTTTTGGTTTTCTTTAAGGCCAAGTGATTTTCTTTTTCTTTATGAATGATCTCGTTGCCACTTTCCCTCGCCTCGCCGCCGGAGTTACTGCCGACCGCCTTTCTCTGTATTTCGTCTCCACCTCCGCCTCTACCCTTCTCTGTTTATCTTTTTCAAAGATAGGTTAGGTTTTGGAACAAATGACAAAGAAATGAAAAGATGGAGAAAATGAAAAAAAAAAATTATCAAAATGACGTCGTTTTGAAATCACTGCAGGAAACATGGCAGAAAACCACGGCAAAGGATCTGAACTCATATATATACTGTATACACAGTTCCTCTCACTAAACCTTCTCTCTCTCTCTCTCTCTCTCTCTCTCTCTCTCTGACACTCTCTCTCATCATCTTTCTTTTTTCTCTCCATAGCTTCGATCTTAAAAAAAAATGAACTACTTCGCCGTTCTTTAGTGGCGTGTAGCACAGTCACCAGATCAGCTCCGATCTACTTTCTCTCTCTAGATCTCGTTTAAAAACCCTAGATCTCGGGTCATCGCCGACATCCTCCGCCACCTCCTATTGGTCTAGATCATCGTCACCTCCAATGTTGGGCACAACCAGATCGACTTGTAAGAGTACCGCCGTTGTGGAACTATCGACGCAGGCGGAAGCAATGTCGTAGCTTCCATCTCCGACACTGTCTCTCTCTCTCTCTCTCCTTTCTCTATTCTGTCTCCCTCTTCATCATCTAATTTGTGCATAGATTTGAGTTAAAACCCTACGGTTTCTCTTCTCTCTCTCTTTCTCTCTTCTACCAGTGGTAGATCTGTACTGGAGCACATAGGTTTAAACCCTCAGTCGTGCACAAATTTGAGTTGAAACCCTAGTTTTATGTATTTTTATTTTTTATTTTTGTTGTGGTGGATCAAAGTCTTAGTTGTTGGTTGTTGATAATGATGATAATGCTGTTGTTGTTGTTAGATTTTCAACCCTCGGTCGTGTAGATCTGTTGTTGTTGTTGTTGTTAGATTTTCAATCGATAAATTTGTTATTGTTGTTGAACAGATAATAAAATTGGATATTTAGGTTCAACAGATATATAGGTTCAACAAATTTGTTGTATATCTGTTGAATATATATTGATTGTTGTAATATTGTGTTGTTGTTGATGTTGATGAAACAAATTACAGATATATATAGGTCTAACAGATAGATAAGTTCAACAGATTTTATATGTTTGGTTTCACACCAAGAGGGGAAGTAGGTTCAATAGATAGATATAAAAATTGAACAAATAGGTCAAAAAATTCTACAGTTAAAAGGACTAAAAATTTGAACAGATGTTTGATTTCTTTGCAAAATTTGTATAGATAAAAATTATATAGATATTTGGATAGAAAATTTGTACAGATAAAATTTAGACAAATAAAAAATTTGCATAGATAAAATTTGGATAGATAGAAAATTTATACAAAAAAAATTTGAACAGATAGTAAAAAAATTTGAACAAATACAAAAAGTTTCACCAGATATACAAAAAATTTCAATAGACAAATATAAATTTCAACAGATAGTCAACGAAGAGTCAAACAGATAAAAAAGTCAAGAGGTAAAATTGAAAATAAAATGTTCTCTATGATTTGTCGCCAAATTATTTTACAAAGTGTGGATTTCTCACCAACAAAAAAAAAAATGAAATTACTGGACCTAATGCCTTAGACAATTGTTAGAGTGGATTTTTCATCATTTTTCTCTTTTTAATAATGTTTGAAATTTATTTTAATGAATAATTTAGATAATTTTATCATTGTATACGAAAGTAGTTAGAAATTTTATTTTTTTAATTAATTTTGTTAAATAAAAAATTCTGATAAGGGAATATTTGTGATTTTTTAAATCACAATGGACAATATATATTTTAAGTAAATCTTTATCCTTTTATTTTTTTATGAGTAAAGAAAAAAATTACAAAAATATAGAGGGTGCAAGTAATTTTGTGTTAGGGTGCAAGTGAAAAGATGTGGGAGTGTAAGTCTCACTTGCATCCCTCTATATTTGCGTAATTTTTTTTCTGTCCAACTGATAAGTAATTCTCCCTTTTTGTTTTTGTATTTAGATGAATAATTTTGGTATTTTGAAAAGTCAGCTTTAATTGATTTCATCTCCCTTTAAATTTCTTAACTTTTGAAGATATTTTAAAACGTATATTAAAAAAATGTTTTTATCCATATTGTTTTTATTTTATTCTAATTTTCTTCTCTTTAATTATTTAATTAGGTGATTAAGGCCAAGTGATTTTCTTTTTCTTTATTTCTCTAGTAAGACCTTCCTAATAAATTTGGGCACCACAAAAAAAATTTAATACACTTTTTACTAATTTAAAAATAAATTTTATAGATTTTAGAGAGTTTTTTAATGTCGTAAATATTTTCAAAATGTTTTTCATTTTAATCCCAAGATTAACAAGTGCACATCACACTTGTTACTATTTTTTGAATATTGTTTGAGGAACTCATAGGAACGATGGGTTGGGCTCTCCTAGGTCATGCCATCAGATCCAAAATAAAATAGTGAGTTTCATCAAACATGGGGTCTCATTATTTTGAACCAATGAAAAATTGTGTATTGCTCACACTTTAAAAAACGTGTAAACAAAATTGAACTCTATTTAATCCACTCCTTTACTCTTTCTTATTTTTTATTTATTTTTTAACCAAAGCACTCCTTTGTAGAGTTATGTTAGGAACTCTAAATAAATTACTAAATATTCTATCAAACCTCTCACATAGTTCATGTAAAAGGTTTGATAGAATATTTTGTAATTCATTTGGGGTGTATAATATTTTCTCTCCTTGGCAACCTATATATTTGTATGGTGTGCATGTTTCCTAAGCTTCACAATGACGTAATGTTAAACAGGAGAAGTTATTTGGAGTACTGCTCCACCATTAAGATGGAGCAAAATATTACTTCTGTATCAATAAAAGAGTGTACACTAATTAACTATGGTATTTTAGGAAGTTGGCAACTTCTCTATCAATAAAAGAGTATACTAATTAACTATGGTATTTTGGAAAATTGATAAAAAGTTAAGCTTTTAACTTTTCTAATTTTTTTTGTGTAAAGAAGTTAACTTTTTGTGATTTTTTTAAAAACTTTTTTTATGTTAAAAAAGTTAAAAAATCAAAAAAATTAACGTTTTTGGCTTGTTCCCAAATCACCACTTCACCCAAGAAGCCCAAATCCTCTATAGTTGCGTATCTAGAGTGATCTCTCTTTAATCTCAGCCAACGCTTGTCCTTAAAAGAATCAAAATGATGTCATTTTGTTAAGAAAAAGAAAAAAAATAAAAAATAAAAAATAAAAAATAAATCATAAAAGCTTGTTGCAGAGAAGACGGAAAGAGAGGAGAAAGTAGAGCTTCACCAGCGACCTCCCTCATCGTGATCGGGCCACCATGTCGCCACAACCAAACCCGCCACCGCTATCTCCCTTCTCTTCATATATCTCTCACCCATTCTCTTCTTCCTCCTTCCTCTTAACTCTCCCGCCGGCGGCCACCCATCTCCCACCATCTCTAATCGTCGGCCAACCCTCCCTCATCCTTCTTTTTCCCCTTGTTTTCCTTCCTCCATCCAACCCTCTTTCCTTCTTCTCCTTTCCCTCCTCCCGAATCGCTTCTGAGTTTGATCTATTCTCATTCCTCTTGAATCGCTTCTGGGTTCCCTTCCTCTTCCCGAATCGATTCAATCTTTGATATATGAATCTCCCCTTCCTCTTCCTCCTCTTTCTCATTATAAGATCTAGAGACCGATGATGGTGGGTGGGCTAGATTTAGGTTTTGGGGGAAGAAGAAGAAGAGAGAGAAAAAAAAAAAGGGGGTGCGGTAAGGGGTGGCCGTCGGCTGATGATAGTTGGCTGGTGATTACTGACAGTCGTCTTCTTTTCGTTTTGCATTATTTTTCATTTTTTTAGTCTTAACCAATGTTTTCAAAACCGGATCGGTGAGCGAACTGGAAAAGGGACCGGGTAGACGGGTCACCGGTTCAATCGTCGGGTCAAAGTGGTCGAATCGTGACGTCATAATTAATATTATATAATTAAAAAATATAATTATAAATTATAAATAAATGAAAATATATATAAATAATCAAATAAAAATAAAAATTGTTGCATAGTATTTATTAATAATATTTAATAAAGTCATAATTGATAAAAAGAAAAGTCACTTATTTTAAAGAAATTAAATTTTTTAAACATTCTCTCCAAATAAATTGATTGAATGTTAGATTTAATTTTAGAGAGAAATGAAATTTTCAACTCTCCCTCCAATCAATACGTTTCAAATAATTTAATTGAATCCCACATAGAATTTTGTAGGTTCTCTTTGAAAAATCTTTTCTTATAAATAGGAATAGACTTTCATAATCTTCTTAAGCTTTCAATGAGACTCTTCCTTATGAGACTCTAGAAGTAAGAGCTTTTAGTTAAAATTTTGAAATATATTTATATATATATAAGAAAGAAAGAAAGAAAATAAAAAAAAAAGTAAAATCGAAAAAAAGAAAAGAGGACCGGTTTGACCCTCCCGACCCGGTCCGGGTCACCGGTTTTGCAGGTTCGACCACTAGGTCACCGGTTTTTCCCGATTTTGACCCCAATTCGGGTTTAGGGAGTTGACCGGATCAGAACAAGGCCCGGTTCAACCGGCCGGTCCAGTCCGGGTTTGAAAACATTGGTCTTAACAAAACGTCGTTTAGATTCTTTTAAGGATAACCGTTGGATGAGACTGTAGAGAGATAGCACTAAAGAAGAAACTCTAGAGGATTTGGACTCATTGATATTATCCTATCATTCTCACATGCTCTTTCTTGAGAAAAACAAAAAATGTGTTTAGTTTGAGTTTTTGGAGTTAAGTTTTTTAAAAATTAAATTTTTGATTTTCATATTTTTTTGTTTTTAGTGAATATTTTTAAAAAATTAAAAAATACATAAAATTACAAAAAAATGTACTAAATTCTCATTTTTTTATTTATTTACATTTTTGATATTTAGTGAACTTTTAGAAAAAAATTTTCACATTTTTTTTTACTTTTTAAGTATATTTATGTTAGTTATGTCTAAAAAGTAAAAAAATTGCTTAAAATATTAAAAAAATTCAGTAAAAATAAAAAAATACGAAAAATAAAAAAATAGAAAATAAAATTTTTTGAAAAGTATATTTTGAAAAACCTAACCAAGCAAGAACCTTTCAACCAACAATTATATGATTTGACTTACATTCACATGCTCTTTCAGGCTTAGTTTGGGAAGTCAAGTTTGAGATTTTTTTTTTGATTATTTTAATCACAAAAAATAAAATAATTTTTTTAATCCAATAAAACAAAACATCACATTTAATTCATAATTATTACATTCTTTCTCTCACAAAAAAGTTAAAAGCGCCAAAAGCCTTTCTCAAAAGAGACTTTTAACCTCAAACTAAAATAACTAAAAAAAGGCAAAAAACCAAAAAAACTAACCCCCTTCCGAACCCTGAGAATTATCAGTCGGTCACAACTACGCAGCAAACTAACAATCCTTTTCCATGCTTCCAAACAACACAACAAAAGGCAAAAAGAAGGCCAACACGAAAATACCCAACTAATAGATCATTTTACTTTCTTTTAGTAGCTCACAATTCCCATCTTTTCACACACAAGTAGGAGAAAAAAAAAAGAAAGTGATCATCGATGAATGAGCATGGCTTTCTGGTCACCATCAGAGCAGATACACAGCAGCAGAAGACCAATGGCCATTTATATTAAAATAGTAAGAAACCCTCATAATCCGGCACCATATCCAAGCAACAAACAGGTATACATCCTAATAGATCAAATAATCCAAAGCAAATACACGCTATAGACACAAACTGGGCATCCCATAGAGTGAACAACAAATTGATTATCATAGTTTTGATAAAAAATTCTGTTTTGGATGACAATGTCAATAACAGTAACAGGGTATAAAAGAAAAGCTATTGATAATGCAAAATCATGGCATCAACATTTCCATGGAATAGGATCACAGATCTGCTCTTCCGGGATATCTGGGGAAGGGAATCACATCTCTAATGTTGTCAAGCCCTGTGGCAAAGAGAATCATACGTTCAAATCCTAAACCAAAACCGCTATGTTTGACAGTGCCATAGCGTCGAAGGTCAAGGTACCACTCATATGGCTCTAGAGGCAGCCCCATCTCCAGTATCCTGCAATACAAGTGATCAAAATTTCCACTCATATGGCTCAAGAGGTACCCACTCAATGAAAAAATAGCCATTAAAATTTCTTCATCAGTTCATAAGTTATTTATCGTTCAATTCTGAACTCCAAGACTGAGTCTATGCAAACCAATTGTCAGTCCAAAAATAAACTTCAATAACAAAAGATCACAAGGACAGCAATAATTTTTGTGGAAGATGCATCTTTACATATAATAGAGAGAATCAAAATTAAGAATAATAGCTTTTCCTACCTTTCCTTGATGACTTCATGTGTGTCTTCCCTTTGGCTCCCTCCAATTAGCTCTCCCACCTAAAAAGGGATCCGACAGATTTTCATCTTAGGCAAGCAGAATAGCCAATCATATTTGCTAATACATCCTCTAAGAGGTTTTCTCCTGCTGTCACTAGCTAAAAGAAGCATTTTACAATTGCCGTATAGCTACAAGAGAAATTTTAAAACTGCATGTAGAGGTAACAAAGTAAGCATCTGAGATGTGAACAGAGAAAAAGATCATACCTTTGGTACAAGCACATCCATAGCAGCTACAGTTTTGTTGTCAGCATTAACCTTCATATAGAATGCTTTAATCCCTTTTGGGTAATTATACACAATAACAGGAGATTTGAATTTCACTTCAGTCAAGTATCTACAAGATTAAACAGACCATGACATCAGTATTACATACATGGATGTGAAAGGGACACATGTGTAATGCAGAACACATGTTACCTTTCATGTTCAGATGCTAAATCAATCCCCCATTCCACTTTATTCTCAAACTGCCTCTCTTTCGATGCTTCCTCAAGAATTGCAACTGCTTCTGTGTAAGAGCAGCGGACAAAGTCGGTTGAAGCAACCATTCTTAGACGATCAATTGCACTTTTATCAAAGTTCTTAACCATAAGTTCCATATCATCAAGGCAATTGTCAAGTAACCATTGACACAAGAATTTCACATACGCCTCCGCGCACTTCATGTCATCCTACAAAAATGTAAGAATTTTGGCATCTTTTTGAACAACAAGATTCAACAAAACCATAGAACTTATAATCATGATGATGAACAAGGATGAGGTTTAATAGATGTCCTACAAAAATTTTGCTTGTCTATCACATTTTATATAGAAATTCAACAAATATAATCTGTCTACACATTTCAAGTGGGCACACTTTCCAATCTCCAACTGATTGCCCCACTCCTTGAGATGTTGTGGGGTATGTAATAGTTTCAGATGAAAACACGCAAATGACATGAAATGCCCTCCTCTTTCCAAAGTTGAATGTTTATAACTACAAAAATGATTTGTCTAATCCTTTGCCCCACTCCTTGGGATGTTGCAGGGTATGTAAAAGTTTAATATAGCATTACCAAGCCTTCAATATTACTAATTCAATTTCCATATGATATCTGAACACCTATTACTGTTCATAAAGCATTTGGACAGGTATTAGGAAGAAGCCTCACCTCACCACTATACCTTCCCCACCCCCGAGATAGGCAAGCTTCACTAATACATTATTAAAAAATTGTTTGAGCTTTTCCTTCCCTCCTTATATTTTAGAAAAGCAGGGAGAGTTCTTCGTTCTGTGGAAATATTTTCTCAAACATTTATCAGCAATCAAGTCGTAAATTTAGACATACTCATGCCAAATCCATTTATTACGCTTGCAAATAGACACACAACCAATCAAATCAACTCAATTGCAAAAAAACTTCAATCTTTTAGCTATAATTGATAATTTCAAGTAGTCTTCTGAACTTAAATATTTTATTTAGTAATGGATATAAAATCATATCTTACCTCAATATCTGCAAATGCTATTTCAGGCTCCACCATCCAGAATTCTGCCAGATGTCTTGAGGTATGAGAGTGCTCAGCTCGAAAAGTTGGACCAAATGTATAGACACTACTAACGGCACATGCGAAAGTTTCAACCTGTAGCTGTCCAGAAACAGTCAAAAAGGCTTGTCGGGCAAAGAAATCTTGGGAGTAATCAATCTTCCCATCCTTCTCAGGTATCCCAGGTTTAAGCTTAAATCTCTCTTCCAGCCTTGAGAGATTCTCTTTAGCTTTTGTTAGTTCAGCAACTGCAGCACTAATTTCCACCTTGCTCGCTTTGGATGATTTTAATTGAGCAACAGCCTCTCCTTTCTTCGTAACTAGTAGCTTAGCAGCTTCCACATCAGCTTTGGACGGAGGAGGATTTTTAATCAACTCCTTCTCCAACTTTTCTGCATCATTAATCAAGGTTGTGACTTGAAACATTTCGCCTGCACCTTCACAATCACTAGTGGTGATTATTGGAGTGTGAACATAAAGAAACCCATGTTTCTGAAAGAATGTGTGGGTTGCATAAGCCAGTGCATTCCGGATGCGAGCAATTGCAGAAATCTGAATCCAGTATAAACAGCAACTGTCATAAAAATAATTTAAAAAGCCAACTTCAAGTAAGTAGTATGCTCCTACTGCTAAAATTATTTCAACGCAACAATTATGCAAGATTTGATGCTTTTATAAGTGTGCACGCTCCTGTGTGCATGAGAGAGAGGGAGAGAAAAATGAAATATCCTACCCAAGTTCTCCTATTAGTTTAAGCAGCAATTACTCTTTATTTAATCCCAAAACTCTTCTTGTTACAAATAATCACATTGCCCCGCTGGAAGAACTACAGTCAGAATGAGTAAGAGGTAAAGGTAACTCAAAACTCCAACATTTGTTGTTGACAGAGGAAAAACTACCAAGCAAAATGTGTTTTTAGTCAAACCAAATCATTCTTGTGAATCGGTTATAACCTTACCTTAAAAATTAAAAACACTGAAATACCTTTAAAGTTCCCTAACCAGTTGTACAATGCTGTCCAAATTGGGGTTTAAACAGATCGTACAAACAAACAAAAAATGTTGAGAAAAGTAAAACGACAATGCTAGGTGGCCCGAAAAAACATGGCTCGAATGGCTCAAAACACCAAAAACGGCGTCGTTTTGGGTGTAAAATGACGTCGTTTTGACACATTCAAGCCATTCGAGCCACAGAAATTCGGGCCACCAAACATTTTCCAAAGTAAAATTCTGCAATAGGGTGAGTAACTGACCCTCAGTTTGAGCAAAAATTTAAAATGTTATAGGGAATAGTGTGTTAAATTGATGTAGGACGAGTACGTAGACACCTTGCTGGATAGAAGAAGAAGAAGAAGAAGAAGAAGAAGAAGAGAGAGAGAGAGAGAGAGAGACTCAACATTATTCTATAAATCTTTAATTATTGATAACCTAAATTAGTTTCATGTAAAATTTCATATTTGCTCTTTTTCTTCCTTTCATGACTTCATCATAAATCCCCATCAAACTGCATAAATTGTTGAATTTTGGGCATTTTTCCTGTGAAATTGAATCCATCGAATTCAACACTTCATCTGTGAAGATAAATTACAATTCTTCAAAACCCAATAGCCTCAAATTAACGAATCCCAATAAACCAAACATATCGAGGGAATGAATGGAGAGAGCTTTTGGAACCACAAATTCTCATCTTTATTTTCTAATGCTATGTTTGGATCTAAGATTTGTTGAGAGAAAGGAAAGGAAAATGCAATGAAATTACTTGTACTTGTTAAAGGTTGTGACTTTTTGATAAATATCTATCATTTTCTTAGCCCAACAAATCAAAAGGCAAATAATTCAACTTCTCTCCTTCATTTTCCATTTCCTTTCCCTCAACAATTACCAGAACCAAACAAATCATAAAACTTCATAATTTGTGCATATATAATATAAGAAAACATATCACAATTTAACAAAATCTACATAATATCATAGATATATAAGAGAGTTCGTGTATATATATACCGTGTTGGTTCTAGGGCGAAGATGAACATAGTCTCTGAGAAACTCAAGAGTCAGCCTGGTCTTAGGCAATGGATATTTCGCCGGATCCACAGTCCCCACATCGAGAACCTTCAAAACCCTAAGCTCGATCCTCTGCTTCGTCCCTTCCGGCGGCAACTTCAGCTCTCCTTCCACGTGCACGCACGTGCCGGTAGCCACCAGCTGGCTGAGCGGAGCCACGGCGGCGTCAACCATGACCTGGAGGTTGGCTGGGCACGAGCCGTCGTTGAGCTCCAAGAAAGCAAACGAGCCCTTGCCTTGCTCGCGACCGGTCTTGACCCAGCCGCCGACTCTCACCGTCTTCCCGGAGAGACCGGCACCGCCGTCGGGGCGGCCGATAATGCTCTTGATGAGGACGCGTTGAGAGAAGCTGGCCTCTTCGACGGCGTCGGAGAGGGACACGGCGGACATCTGATCCACCGGTGGCGGAGCAGAGGCGGCGGACATTGTGGGGTGTGGTTTAGGAAATTTTAGGGGAGAGAGAGTGAGGAGTTGCTAAACCCTAATGGGAGATTGCTTGTACTTTATTGGTGAGGGAATCGGGTGGTCGTTTGACTTGATTGCATGGTGGTGTCCACAATGATTCCAATCGGAGCGAGTCTGTTTTTTTGTGAAAAATGGCTATATGCAATTACAACCAATGGATAGCCTCTACGTGCGAGACTTGGGGGTATAATTGTCATCCATGACATGAAAATTTTGGAGAATTCTATTTCCAATAAACTTAGGGCACGCATTTAATGAAAATTTAATTTAATGACAATTACATCTTAATTAAAAATTACTATAATAGACATCTATCAATACTTCTAATATTATATGTATAAATTCTCTATACATATCTTTTAGGAACAAAAATATCTCAGTATATAATTTTTGAATGAAAATAATTAAACTTTAATTTTTCTATTGTATTCACTTTGCTTGTTACACACTCTACTCCTCTGTTACTTGCAAAGAACAATACTCTAAACACATCTCTTATATTGTTTTAATTTCTAAGTTTACATTCGATTATTTTCATCGTTTAATTATTAGTTCAACAATTTTTACTTGATTTTGATATGGAAGAGTTATAAATCTATGGAAGTTCAAATTCAAGCAATGGTGACAGCAAAAACAGTGATGAAAAGGTAAAATCGTGTAGATCTTAATATTGGTTTTTTTGCGTTTTTTAATCGGTGATACAGTGACGAATTTTATAATTTAATTCGGCAATCAACTGCCGAACTAAAAAAATATTTCGACAGAAAAGTTCTGAATTTTTTTAAATATTTCAATACCCTAATTCTGATTTTTAAACTTATTTCGATTATTAAGTGCCGAATATAATTAATATTTTCGGCTATAGAGTGCCGAAATTTTGTGTTATTTTCGTTTTTTTAGTGCCGAATTTGTTTACTTATTTCGGCTCTATAAAACCGAATTAAAATTTTCCCCCTTCCTTTTTAGATGCTATGCACTGAAGAACCTGAGGTTCGATCGGATATTATGATGGATTGTACTAGTCATTTTATAACTAAACAGGTAACTTTTAACATAAAATTCGTAAGTGCATAATTTGTATTACTTTGTTTTAGTTTGTTTTTATGAAAGTTGTGTGACATTATATATAAGTTTTCGACAACAAAGATGAATTGCTCACTTGGGTACGTGACATTGGAAGGATAAATGGCTTTGTTATTAGGATGTCAGACTATGGTACTGATCGTAAGAGACCAAGAATTTATCTTGCTTGGGAGCGGAGAGGGAATTATAGATTGTGTAAAAAGTTGAAAGATGGCTTAAAAGACTTATTGAGACAAACTGGTACGAAGAAGTGTGAATGTCCATTTGATTTGAGGGCATTCAAGTTGAAAACAAACGATGAATGGACATTGAATGTAGTTTGCGGGCTGCATAATCATCCAGCTGCGGAGCATTTCCAAGGACATTCATATGCAGGGAGATTGTCAGCTAATGAAAAATCGCTGTTAGTAGATATGTCAAAGAGCCTGGTAAGACCAAAAGAGATACTCATTACATTCAAACAGAGAGATGTCCTTAATATGAGCACAATGAAGACAGTTTACAATGTACGACATCGTTGTAGGGTTCTACAGAAAGCTGGTAGATCCCAGATGCAACAACTGCTGGGTGAATTAGCGAAACATAAGTACATTGAGCGTCATCGATGTAAGGAAGGCTCTATGACTGTCACGGACTTGTTTTGGGCACATCCAGTGAGTTTAGATTTGCTTCGTACATTCCATCGTGTATTGATTATGGGTTGCACATATAAGACGAATAGATATCGGCTTCCTCTTCTTGAAATTGTGGGAGTGACATCAACTCATATGACATTTTCCGTGGCTATCGCATACTTGCAAACTGAGCGGGTTGATAATTATGCATGGGCGTTATAAACATAGCGTGATCTTATGGACGACAGTGTTTTACCTGAAGTCATTGTCACAGATAGAGAGCTTGCTTTGATGAATGCCATTGACAATACCTTTCCGAATGCTCGACATTTGTTATGTCGTTGGTATATTTATAAGAATGTATTGACAAAATACAAGAAAATGTTTGAGACAAAAGAAAAATGGGACAAGTTTAACACTGCATGGAACTATTTGATATTGTCATCAACTGAAGAGGAATACAATGATCACCTTGCAACACTACATAAGGATTTCAGTAACTATTTGGAGGCAATCAAGTATGTTACTGTAAGTTGGTTGAATTCGTATCAAGAAAAATTTATTGCGATACATACAGACATGTGTATGCATTTTGGCAATGTTACAACCAATCGGTAAGATTTTCATTTTTATTTTTAAAATTTATTATAAATCATATTGTTATTTTTAATTATTATGCTTGACTATTTTGGTTTACATCCATATGAACAGGGTTGAGAGTGCTCATGCTAGATTGAAGAAGCAGTTAGGTTCAAGTCAAACGACATTTGAGATTTCATTTGAAAATATACATTGTCTACTTGAGTTGCAGCACATTCAAGTTACAGCATCATTCGAGAAGAGTTTGACAACTGTGCAACGTCAATTCAAACCTTCTCAATTCAAAGAGCTTAGGGGTAATGTGTCTATTTGTGCATTGGAGTATGTGTTGGCAGAGAGGAAGAGAGCAAATTCAGTTGGAATTGATGTTGCAGCATATAGGTGTGTTCTTAGGCGCACGCATGGTTTACCCTATGCTTACGAGATTGCAGATTACATGAGACAAGGCCATCCTATTCCACTTAGTAGCATACATGTACATTGGACGCGACTTACTATATGTGTGAATAATCCAAAGGTTGAGAAGTTGGAATTGACTTGTATCCCAGAACTTGATATGATTTTGAAGCGGTTTAAAGAGTCTGATATTGCCACACAATTGGATATGTTGAAGAAGTTGAGGGAAATTGCAAATCCAATGAGCATTTTTCTTATTGAGCCTGATGTGAAACCTAATCCACGTCGAGGACATAAGAAAATTGATACATCTTGTCGTCGTGACCCGTGTGCATTTGAGTTGGTTGACAATGGCCATGATAGCCAGAGCACATTAGCTTCCAATCAGTCAAAGAAAAAGAGAGCTTCAAAAGTGCATGAGAAGAAGTGGAATGTGAAGACAAAGGCATATCGTACAAGAACAAGTTTATCAAGTGCATATGCTGGTGACTTCCCGCCTATGTTAATACAATTCATAAAGTTAATGAAGGATGTAGACGGCGATGTGAATTGTGGTTTTAGAGCTATTGCAGGATTACTTGGTCTTGGAGAGAATGACTGGATGTAAGTTAGGCATGATCTGCTGCTTGAATTGAATAATCACACAGATGAGTACGTCGTACTATACGGTCGCATGAGAGGGTAGAGGAGTTGACACACATTCTTTCATATTTTGAAGATAGCCCAGGCTTTGATCGTTGGATGACTATGCCTGACATGGGGCATCTTATTGTATCATTTTATAATGTAGTCTTGTACCACTTGTCATTGAAACAGTGTCTCACTTTCTTACCTTTGAGATCACCGCCAGTAACCGTAGCTGATCGTCGTGAGATTGCCATTGGATTTGTCAATGGAAATCATTTTGTACAGGTATAAGTTATGAAAATAACCGAACATTGTTGTCTAATATTTGTGTAATTGTAATTTTATGTATTTGGTAAAGATATGCAATTTTTTGGATGTATGTGTAGGTATTTTTGGAGGCCGGTCATCCAGTTCCTCTCATTGCCGTGTTTTGGCGAGTTCACCATCACCCTTGTGCATCAGAATGAGAGAATGCATGTGTTAGCCGGATTCAAAAATTCAAAGACAACATAGGACCTAATGTAGCTACTCGAGAGACATTTGATGTAGTTGACATAGATTGATGTATTACAGCGTAGTAATGATAGCTTTAAGACATTAGTTTTTATGATTTACTAGCATGGAGTAACGAGGTGGATATCATTTTGTCATTGGATTTTGTAATGGTCAGTTTTTTTATTTATTTTAAAAATAGAATATTATATTCTAATTTATGGAGTGGATGTCATATTATTTTTACATTGCCTGAACACAAACGTAATGAAAATAATATTAACGAAGTACATAATCCAAAAAGTACATAATCCGACGATAATAATAATATTTGTGTCTTTATACATCCACCAACACCATCAGAAACTACTTGTGTTAACATTATGAACTACTATTAACTACGTGACATGCTCGTGTAATGTGCTCCAAAATGATGTGCAGTGGAAGAGCTGGGTGCAGACCGACCCTTAGTGGATGTGCTGGGCACAGCTTCACTAATGTGTTGGTCTTGAAGGAGTTGTTCGATTGCATCAATTGCATAGTAAAACCTATCAGGATGTTGAACACTGTCCTCATAGCCAGCCTCAACGAAAGGATAAGTAATCTGATATATCTGTGACATACGTTGCATTACGAGAACAAATATAACATTATATACAAACTTATAACAGTTAACATAAATAATTTGTAATGTAAATGAAAAAAATGATACCTGTGCATCTTGGCTAGGATACTGATAATGATAGATATTCGGGTCCACTTGAGAACGACGCATTGGGTTTTGTACATACATATGGGTAATGGTTTGGTACCAATCCATGTAACCAGGAACACAATCTCAAGGTTGTCGTACCAGTGTCCTCCTCCTCCGATCAGATAACACATGGTTGTCTCATGCCTCCTAAATGATGTCTAAGTATGCATACATAACATTGTAGCGTGGAGCTGTGGCTCCTCGAGAAGCACACATAGGGCCAAGTGGTGGATTAGAGATTGTCTACACTCTGCGAAACTGTCTTAAAACTCTATCAGGGTAATATGGTTCAACTACTTCCAAACACTTTAGGCAACTGTGGTAGAACGTAACTGGGTGACATGGATAGACATCTCTGCAACTCTGGTACGGGTCCCAAATAACCTACAAACAATAACAATTGTAAGATATGACAACTGTAAATTTTGTATGATATAGAGTTTCAAATTTTGAAGGACTTTTTAACTTACATCATGTACACCCAACCTATCAAGCTCCTCTCGAAAAGCTTGCAACTGTGTCTCTTCATCAGACTCTCTCCGAGAAGTCCAACGATAAACATGTGGCATGTCTCGAGTGTAATTCATATTCAAGTGTGGTCGGAATCCACGAAAGTGCTCATAAATCCATCCCTCAAGGAGTGTCATGTAACCGGCTATTTGTTTCACGCCGGACCTACTAGCATACCCTATCTGTCTATATAAGTATGCCAATGCAACAGCACCCCAAGCATATGAAGATACAGTCATTAAATCGGATAACAAACTCAAATAAACAACGAGAACCCTAGTACCAGTCTTGTCACTGAAAAGTGTACAATCCAATAAAAATAGCAAGTATGCTTTACCTGCACATGCAATTCTTTCCATTGAATCATTATCTGTGACATTATGAAAGTGTGCCCTCAACCATTCAAGCCGCACTAAATTGCCTCCAGCAGTAGACATCTCATGTTTGACCTCTTGTTCATCAATTTCCAAGGTATTAACTACTAATGCAATGGCCCGCCTTTCGGACAACTTACGCACACTAATAGATTTGCCTACAATGGGAAGCCCTAAGATAGTGGCAACATCATCCAATGTGATAGTCATCTCTCCAACAATGAAATGGAAGGTGTTTGTCTCAGGTTGCCATCTCTCAACAAAACTAGACACTACAATTTTGTTAACAAAGCGGTATGTGCAATGAGTTAAGTGTGCAAGTCCTGACATCTCCACAATGTTTACAAATGTAGCATTGTTTCCTTGTTCCCACCACGGCCACAGACGAATCTTAGACGAGTGATTATGACACTTTAACGGCCCCTTTTCATCAGCACCATTCCAAATAGCTGCGGTAATATGACTTTTAAAACTTTTAAGGATTGATGGATCAGTTGGCCCTCCCGGAAATGGTTGAGTAAGGATATCTTCATCAACAATGTCAGCATCATTAGGGTCATCATCCATAGCAATATCATCCATAATTGGTGCATCATGTACAACATTATCATCCATAGCAATGTGTGTGTCATCATCACGCACTCGAGCACGTCCACGTTCATGTCCACATCTACGTCCACGTCCAGCCTTCTCTAATTCACGGAGTCTTCTATTCGAAGCTATTACTAACCAACGTTGACTGGGACTGGATCCATCCACATACGAAAAATTGTCCACATCAATTCAATATAACATATATAGTGAAAACACTAATAAATATACAATCAAATAGTTGAATTGTAGCCATCAAACAAATAGTTAGCAGCATCTTATTGTAACAAACCTCTTGATCCATGCTTATAGGCATAACATAACTATTCTATGAGATTAGTATTTCTATCCTAACATGTTTAATTAGAATAGATAATATAAAGAAGACGACGAAAATTTGAAGTCATTAGATTGAGTAATGCATGCATGTTTATCATATTTTGAAGTATGGGTTCCAAAATGAAGAACTACTAGTAAAGATGTGTTACAATGTGTTATGAAGAACTACTACTAATTGGTTGTTAGTGTTACAATGTGTACAATTAAGAATATGATAGTGTGAAGAATTGGATAGGTCTTAGTCTTGCATTATGCATGTAGTTCATTTGTCTGGTTTTTGAAGCCCAAGGCAAATCGCTTGGGTGAAGTTGAATTGATTACCTTCATTTGACAAGTAAAGATGTGTAATTTTTATTCTAATCATATGTTAATGGTTGTGTAGTTGATCAATGCTTTTGAAGCAATGATTTTCTTGATTTTATTGCTTGTCCAGTTTCTTCTTCTTCTTCTTCAAATCAATGCCTCAAAAGTACAAATGCAGTCTTGTATGAATCAGTGCCCAAATCTAACTAATGGTAGTTGTGAAGTAAAAGACCATCAGAGGGCATGGGTGATGCGTAGGTGATCTATAATAATATGTGCAATATATAAAATTGTTTGATATTTTGTTTGGTAGGAGAGGAAAGGGAAAGTTTTTAGAATCCTTTTTTTTTTTCCTTGTTCGTTGGCTTGTAATGTGAGAAAGTCCAGTTTCTTCTTCTTCTTCTTCAAATCAATGCCTCAAAAGTACAAATGCAGTCTTGTATGAATCAGTGCCCAAATCTGACTAATGGTAGTTGTGAAGTAAAAGACCATCAGAGGGCATGGGTGATGCGTAGGTGATCAATAATAATATGTGCAATATATAAAATTGTTTGATGCTTTGTTTGGTAGGAGAGGAAAGGGAAAGTTTTTAGAATCCTTTTTTTTTCCCTTGTTTGTTGTCTTGTAATGTGAGAAAAGAAAGACAACAAGTAGGCAAGACAAAAAATTTACAAGTATATCTTGGTGGCCTAACTTTGGTCTAACAAAACAAAAAAAGGGGGAAAAAAAAAAAAACACATTCGGAACTTCAGTGCCGAAATAATAGACAAATTTCGAAACTAGAAAACCGAATATTTATATTAAATTCGGAAGATAACTGTCGAACAAACTGAAAATATTCAAAACTATATAACTAAAATTTATTTCGAAATTTGGAATATAAAAGTTGAATATGTTAACTATTTTTGACACTATCTAGTTGAAATATAACATTTTATTCGGTTTTTCTGTTCTGAATTTTATGCACTAATTCGACAAACCAGTGCCGACATCGCCAAACTGTCTCCAGCATGGAAAAATTCGATGATTTCAGGGCAATGGAGTGTAAAAAATTTGAAAGTGGTAAAATGCAAGAACAAAATGATAAATGTAAAAACAAAATGGAAAGATTCTTTACCTTCAACACTGTTTTGGAGGTAAAGAAATACAGGTTCAACGAGGTCTTCCTTTCATGGATGTCTTCAATGGAGGTTTTCACTTGAGCAAAGTCACGGGGGTGGATCAAAATATGAAAACTTTCAGACTCTGTTCTTCAAGGCTTCACACGTGGGTGGAAAGTTCAGAATTTGGTCCTCAAGTGTTCAAACAGTGTATGGAAAGGAAATGAAGGGTATTATTTGGTGTGTGTATAATAATATTAAGTGAAGGTTGTAATTGTCATTTTTAGTGTGTACATTGAGAAAATTAATCAATATATAAATTAATAGAGATGTGTATTGAGAAAAGATGTACTCTGAGTTATTCAAGTGGGTGGAAATAGAATTTCTCGAAAATTTTGATTTAGTATGAAAATACTATAAGTGTTGCTATTATTACCCTATCAACTATTTTGGACCTTTATTTTTTTATTACAATAATAATCTTAAATGAAATTACTAAAAAAGACATTAATAATTT